GAACGCCAGGATGAGCTCACCCCGTAGACGGCAGTATCTGAAGCTGTACGTTCCCAGAGCTCTCAGTCGCCTGTGGTATTGCAGGGTGGACAACTACTTCATATTTCTCGTTACCCTTCGCTGGGCGCTCTCAGGCGCAGCCATATCGCGTTTTAACCATGGTTGCCAAGCCTGAATCTCCTACTCTACATGGGGCCTCACAAATACATTGAGCATTTAGGGAAGAAAGAGAGATCGAACAGCCCGTACGTCTTTCGTAACGGACCAACATGTTGGATCGCGTTGTTGCATGCCTTAAAGGACTGCACCGGACAGCAGTGATCATTTTGCATCACGATCCTCAGGTCTCGCTCCTATGAGGCGGTTTTCAGCATATGGTCTCCAAGCTTATATAAGTAGGTGGGCTTGTGGCGGACATGCACGGTTCTGCACTTGTCCGTGGTAAACGGAAGTAGCTTTGCGCTAACCCATTCGAAGGCGTGGGCCAAGCCTCGTTGCAGCATATCGTGATTGTCCGGACAACCGATAGCCAGCCATACATTGATATCATCGGCAAAAAGTAGAAAGTTCGACTTGATGACACCCACAAGGTTGTTGTTGAAGAACAAGAACAATCGCGACCCCAAGACCGACCCTTGTAAAACACCACAGTCCACATTAATTGGATCAGAAAATAAGTCTCAAACTAGAAAATGTAGGGATAAGTTTTCGAGCCATCCAAGGACCGGGTTTGCCGCCTTTGGAGAAGGTTTCGATGATCTAAGCGGTCGAAGGTTTTAGAAAACTCTAGGTTGATGACATCAGTGCTGGTCTCACCGTCGGCTATTTTGGCCTAACTACTACGCGCAATCAGCGGATTGGTAGTACATGACCGCTTCTAACGGAATCCGTGTTGCTCCAGTGTTATGATGTTAGACCTTTCAAAATATCCCAATACAGCCTCAGTTATGATTGACTCCATGACTTTTGAGAGGACCGGGACGAAAAGCACTGGGAGATTGTTGACAGGCTCTGAACGGCTACCACCCTTAAAAATTGTAGTGATGATGCCTTGGTTCCACATGTTAGGGACCTGCTGTTCATCCAGGAATCTTTGGAAAATCTCATTAGTGATTCAGCTATCCTCGTAGCTGTCACCTGTAGTGTTTTCGGGGTAACGTCGTCAACACCGGGGGATCTATGGGTGCACAACAGGACCAGCTTCCTCAAAATGGTAGCCAAAATAAAGGGTGACGTGTGTAAATACTGTCCTCTGGGAGATTGGGACAGGTATATTACGCATGCTGATAGCACGTCGGGAAATTAGAGCATATTGGAGCTGTAGAACGTTAGCTGCATCCACGATGGTTTGAGCACAACCATTCGCTGATAGTAGTGGGGAACACCACGTTTAACATTCCGGAGGCATTTTACAAATCTGTACCGAAGCATTTTGTTAGCACAAAACTTTTCCGCTAGACTCTTCTGATGTACCAATTTGTCCTCACGCATAAGCGCGGTACAGTGATTAGGATGCACAACATAGGTACTCCAGTTGTCAAGGTTAGAGTTCACTCTTTACACATGCCACGCTGCGTCTCTTGCTGTCATGTGTTTTCGGATTCTACGCCGAGTGAATGATTGTGATCTTGCGGAAAGTGGGGGTTTGTTGACCAATGCAGATTTATTCCGATCACTGAACTTGCCAGTAAACTCCATCCCAGCACTGTCAATGGAACAGTCGTCCGGAAACTCCCAGCTGGCATCTCCCGCAGCTTCCAGCAGTAGGTCCTAGTGGGTAATTCTTGGAAACAAGTTGGTATGGTCTTGTGGATACTGCGCATAACACACGAAGTTGTAACTTATAGCTACGTGGTCGCTCCACTCCAAAGGGCTCTCCAGCCTTGGTTTCTCAACCATGAGCTCATCGTTCGTGAGCACTAAATCAAGCACATTTGGTTTATTTCCGATGCCGAATCGGGTGGGTAAACTGCCATGGCTTAAGAGCGGAATACATGCAACATGCTGACCTACCTCATTGCTCGTTTGGGATGCCGGAAATTTCAAATCGTGAATATTGAAGCTGTTTGAGATGAGAACATGACTGTACTGGTCACGTAGGACCGTTCCCAAGGATGATGCCAGGTGGGAGTCCATCTCCAGGCTGGACAATGGTGGACGGTAAACAACAGCTAAAAGGCAAGTGTCGTTGCGTCTCAGTTGCAGAATGCACCAGTGAATCTGTGATCAGCATTTCCGGCCTTTGCTAGGGCCGATCGTTCCGGAGGAGAGACATATAATGTATCGCGACCTCTGAGTCGGTAAGTGCTGAGTGCAACTATATTTACGTCACAAATATGAGGTCCCAGGCCCGTGAGGCTTGATTTGTTCGCAGTTCGGCAAGCTTGTTCAGGGACCTTGTGTATTGGTGTACATGCAGGAAAGTTTCCCTGTTTTTAGCAATGAATCGTGGGATGCATGTTTTGGGTAAAATGTTGCGCCAACTGGTGGAAGGTCGGCAAATAATCCTTTTTCGGGTGTGGAAATGACGAACTCACTTGTGTCAGATCCACTGATCCTACCATTACCTCTTTGCTTCTCTCTTTGCAGGTGATGTAGGGAACGTATTTGCCAGTTTCGCTGGCTAGTTGCTTGAGGTTATCTGAACTCTTGTCGGTAAGTGGTCTACCTAAGTGGCTGCTCTCGTGTGTTTGCTTAGCAGTTGCTGCTTTGATCCGGAACTCGGAAGGAAGGCTGCTGCGGCCCGCATACCAGCACCATTGCTGACATTTGTCTAGATTGAAGGGCCACTTTCACCATCCTCGGGCCACATCCTTTATACTTTGGCGATCGGCGCCTTCTGGAGATTTATTGCGCTATGACCTTTTCCAGGAAGAGGGTCTCGCGAATGTATCGCTTTGGTTCCTGGTCGTGAGTGGTCGCTTCGCGCTCATCATGACTTCCAGCCTCGGGAACGCCGTGTGCCAGGAAGGTCCTGGCTACGGATTCCTTTCCGTTTTCATCCAACTAGTGCTTCACGCGTCTGCTCTCACTTGACGGAAAATCCGGTAATAGGCGGATGGAATATGACCCATACTGCAGGCGAGCTGCCACTAAGAGAACAGCTTCTGCTTCATTGGCAGAAGTCAACACACTCGGAGAAGCCTTGCTTCACCGTAGTGCTGTGAGTTTAGGTGACGGGTAAGGCGGGTTACATTGACGGGCTTAGCTACTACATCTAAAATATCACCTAGTTAGTTTCACTGGTTCACGTCATCACGCAGTTTTCCTTTTAAGGAGTTTGATGTTGATTCTGGAACGTTGGCGTAGATTAAGGCTGGTATGATACGTGCAACTCGGGTTGAAGTTGAACGACCAGCTTGTCTGTATACAGCCGATGGAGGCTGTGTGGGTACAGCTTCATCTTCTTCATGTAATCTGAGTCCAGTAAGAATGGCCGAAGTTCTACCTTTTTGGTCAGCTTTGACAGCAAGTGCCAACCGCACTGGTGTCGAAGTCCTTCTACATTTTCGGAACCGTATGGAAGGTGAACGAGGCCATGACCGTGCTCATTGTAATTGCACTGGTGGGCCTTGTTTCAAGCATATTCGAGCAACTGCTGGTATTGAAGTTTAAAACCACAGACGGTACCTATTTAACGTGCTGCCCCAGCCTTCTTCCTTAGTTTTAATGTGGGGCCTGATGGGAATGACTGTGCTTTACTCTCTGTCAAGCATTCTTCAAATGAATCGCTTTTGTTACTTTTCATTTGTTCGATCATTACTACCAGTCTTTTATAACTCTGCTATAGTTCATGTAAAGGCTTTACCGGTGGGATGACTATAAATATTGAACAGAACCACAGTGATTCTGCTTTACTATTGTGTAGCTTCTACTGGTTACTGTGAGCTTGGAAATTTTGCGATGGAACTTGCCTTGGCAACTGCTACATTGGATTCCAATGCGTACCTTTTTATGGCATGTAGGAAGGCCACAAACTACTGTCGATCTGGATGCGGTCACTGGGGAGTTCGATTGGTCACTACAAACCTTTGCGTCGATCGATGCTATTCCGTTCAAGGCCAGAGCGCTTATAGGTTCCTGCGGGTCGTGCATGCGCTGTGGTATCTGCATGTTCAAGGTCGTCGAGTTCTGTGCGGCTGGCCGGGGCAACTTTAGGCGGCTAAGTCGTTCACATGGCGAACAGAACGACTGAGCGATACGGACACAGCTGTGATTGCTGACTCGTCGGATAAAACGTGGAGTTGGCTTTCGTTTGCGATCACAACTATTGCAGTGTGGATCGTAATTCGGAGCATTCCTCCCTTTTGTTTTTGCAGGAATGGTACGAAAACCGCAATGTGGAGATAAAAGGCGATCCACACAAGCTAGTACCGAAAGATGGAGTGTACTAAATAGCTCTGATGAAGCTGGGTCAAGTGTATGTGAACACACGCTTGTGTGACAAAATGCAGCTGAGAAACAGTGACAAAACAACGTCTTCACAGATGAGCGATTAGCCCGCGGGTTAGTTTAAGATCACAGCCTTGGATTGGTAAACCGTGCAGTGAGTTGTGGTGACTCATTTCCGTAATCGACAACTTACTTTTGTACTCACTGTGATAGTTAGTCGCGTTTTGCTTTACTACTGCTTGAAAGGACGAAGATGCTTGTGGGATACTTTATCTTGTTTATACGGATGATTAGAGTTGCTTTTGAGATCATCTGGGCAGGCAAAAATGACAGCATCTGGACTTAACCGTTGTTTCTCATGCTTTCTTTCCTGCCAACTAGTCGTTGTTCATTGGTTGTTTTTTTAAAACCTAGTTGTCTTTCATTGGTTCACCTGACGCAATGTATAGCTCTGTTCCGCTCTTTCGAGTTATTTGGTTGAGAGAACCAATCAGTCACAAGATTAGTTGGGAGGTAGTTAATTATCCGCTCTGTGAACTTTCACCAATGATTTTATATGAAGTAGTGACTATCACTTGTTGTCTGAGCTGTCTATTGATTTCTTACTCATGGATTTGCGCAATCTCGTGTTTCGTGTTCAGTTACTTTATAAACAACAGAACTCGTCGCAAATTTTCCACGGAGGTATCACCTCAATGGTTGCTGGAGTAGCGGCATTTTGCAACGTGATTCCAACACCGTAACCGGTGTGTGCACATATCGGCAGGATGACCACATGTTACGGTGGTTCTTACTGGCGGGTGAGTGGTGCATGTAGACACCGTTCGATCAACGATAACTTGTTCGATATTCTTCACTCGCACCTGGTTCGTCCACTAGATCATCAACAATAAGTTCACATATAGTAAGCTGACCACGCGTCGCGCGTCAACAGAACAGTTCGAAACCGGCCATTGCGGTTGTCAGACCGGTTCGAAACTGAGTGAGACCATCCAAAGCTTCGACCGAAATTGTTCATCGTAGTTTACGTTCCAGCGTTCCAGTTGCGGCTGTTTTAGAACGTGATAACTGAAAGTAAGCCCATTGACTAAATGGTCCACTTTGCATTTGTTCAACTTAACAAAAGGGTAAAACGCAAATGAGGTAGTCATGCTTCCACTAGTGATTCTCCCACAGCAACGTAAACTAGTCTGAGAACAAGCTTAAATGATCTGTCATAGATTATGATATTTTATCTCAGCCACAGCTCCCTTCCATTTGTCTTCATTTGACTTTTCGGCACTAGGTAACTTTCGGTAATCTGGAGATCCAATTACTTCAAGCCATTTTGCACCACTTGCAACATCCCTAGACGCTCGGTCAGTTAAAATTATTACAGAAGAGTAGTAGGGAGAGTCGAATGGTATAGGTGGAATTTCGTCACATCTAGGCTCACTCAGACAGCCGCCACACGCCCGGAAAAGTACTGTACGCGTGTTTCATCCTTTCGGGAATCATCAGCAGTGCGCATTCCATCGGACCCTTGGTAGGGCTCGAACCCGCAACTCGACTGTTGCCAGTCCGTGGTTGAGACCACTGAGCTACGGGGGCGGCAACGACCGTCGTGAATAAGTTATTAGATGTGATATAGCGCCGCTCACTATTACGTCTGCGCAGGGGACTTACATCCTTTTTAGAGAGAGATGTGCAAAATAGAAAACGTTAGTTTCTGTGAATATCACGAAGAGCATTGTAACGTTCCGACGCTTGAGGCGCAATTTCATCTACTTCTCACGCTACCAACAGCGCCTACTGCTAAGCTGGACTAAACGGGCGTTTCTAAGCTAACGGACTTACAGGTGGCAACCAAATTGTCTGTTTCATCAATCCAACTCAACACGATGCACCTAGCGCTAGTGCAGTTAGGCTGCGATTATGTCTGTTCATGTTTCACATGCAGTGCGGTGACACACTTTCCCTTAACTGAGTTTTTTTGGAGAATATGCTTACTCATAGTAATAAGTTTTGGGACACCAAAACGGGAGAACTTCTTGTTTTGCCTTCTCATTTTGTGAATGTTAGTGGCTAAATTTTTTGCTGCATCCTGCTACAAAAAAGCAATTCTCATTGTATATAACTTGTTCGCTTTTTTGAACTTTTAAGTTTTAAGGTATTCATCTCAGTAGTTGACAAGCTACATAGCACAACCTAGTCCGGAAAAGCACCAGACGTGTTTCACTCTATTGGGCTCGTCTGTGATGCGCATGCCCTAGCTCCCCTACTGAGAATCGAACCCATGACCGCTAGAGGTTGACGCCAACTAGACAGCCACTGCGCCATGGGGGACGTTGGCTGAGCTACATAATTTGCAAGCTAACTGGGAGATAGCACCACCTATCTTCCACTGTCACTGACAGTCGATAAGTCATACAGTGAAAGCCGATCAACGTTTCACGCTACAAAACAAAAGAACCATTCGACAGAATGTTGTGCGCCTCATCCAATTGATCGCAGATGACACTATTGCTTGAAAGTGCCTGAGTTACATCTTTATCCACAAGTATTGAATCATACATTCGCTTAGTTATGGTTTTCTAATACAATGTAATCGTCTAAGCGCTGTCTGGAATGTTTACCAAGTCCTTTCAACGGAATGTTTACACAGCATTAATCGCTTCTTCCCCCTTGCTCTCAAGGTCAAGCTCGATTCGCTTTGACGGTGGTGTCCACGCCATTGTGGGATGTCAACTACCTATTACGTGGGACCAACAGGGTCAAAAACAGCTAGCAAAACGCCCCAGCATCCTAAATCACTTTCTTTTACTCTGGTTGTCCAGCTTCTGTCATCTACCATGCTAAAAAGCGCTCTAAGTTTGAACCGGCTAGTGGACCAACAGTGTTCATCTGTAATGTGCCTTGTTAAGTTCCAGTTTCCTTCGTCAGAAATTCATCAGGCCCTTCTCTATTGTTAGTCCTCGTATCCAATTATAAAGTTTATGCTCCAACGAAGTACTACGATTTCCTGTCTTAGTGCCTCTCCAGGTCGACAAGCTAACAAATGATTTGTCCACATACGGTCGCGTATACATAGGATAGCGTTTTGATATTTTCTGCTATTCAAGTGAATATATTTCACGTCCACTCCCCTTAGAAATGACTATAAACTGTAGTGAGGTTACCAAGTTGGCAGTCAACTAAATGCACGGAATTTCTTTTGACCGATCTTAGCTAAACTTGTTTTTTCTATATATTGTATTAGTCCTTACCAACGGAGGAGGACGGTAGCCGCCCATCACGAATTGTTAGCTAACTGCGATATAGCCCGACACATCCTCCACTGCCATGCAGGCACCTGCCATGCAGATGACAGCGGTTGGCCTTCCGGCGTCAGGACTTCCGGTTTACGACAGCTATGAATCGACATAGCATTTATAGAATCTGTAAGGGCAAATTTGTATTACAAATACAAAAATACCAAATACAAATTTGCCCTTACGGATTCTATAAATGCTATGTCGATTCATAGCTGCCGTAAACGGGAAGTCCCGACGCCGGAAGGCCAACCGCTGTCACCTGCATGGCAGGTACCTGCATGGCAGTGGAGGATGTGTCGGGCTATATCGCAGTTAGCTAACAATTCGTGATGGGCGGCTACCGTCCTCAATGGCGCAGTTGCATAAGCTGCGGGCTAGTTAGCGCAAGCCACTAGCAGTCATGGGTTCGATCCTCCGCAGAGGACCGAAGGATGCGCACCACTGATAGGCCCCAACAGGGCGAAACGGCCGTCTGGTACTTTTCCGGGTAGGTAGTTGACTTATCTGAATTGTCGGCTGATTGCGACGAACAAAATAGACTACTCTTTCTTCCTAGTGAATATAACGGATCAGTACCTCCACACTATTTACTCGGGCACAGGGGGCAGAGACTCTTCCGTGAGTTGTGTGTCCGCGGAGCTATATCAATCGTGAAACGAAGGGTTGCTGTGAGGACCGCTTGACGAGCTGCACTCCACGACCGGGTTCATCCTTGTAGATTTTCAGACTGTCATAGTGCTTGACGAATGACTTCTTGATCACTGGTCCACGAGCAATGCTTGGCACAGCGGCGGAAAATGCATTGTTCGTTTTTGCGATACTCGCCGTTTGTTTGGATTGCGAAGCATCTTTTCGGCTTTGACCTTGCCTTGCTTTAAAGCTAGCCTCGATCATTTCAATCAGAGTGATTGTATATGAGGTGGAAAGTTCGCGGTTTTTCTGGCAGCCGACATTGTAATGTAGCGTTAGTTTCCTCGTTGTTTGGGCTCTTCACATACACATAGATGTAGCTGGTACTGAGACTCGGGAGGTGGCGGTTGATGGCTGTCTTCCTGAGTACTGGGCAGTTTAGCTGTGCAAGTAACAGTTGCTGCATTCCCCTTCAGTCGAACGGCCATGGTTTGATTTTCGATGTGCATTGGATCCATTTACCGTGCCTCGCGTCATTGTTATAATGATTGTTAAACAAAGCTCAGAATATGAAGCAGAATACCGTGGTTGAATACTCCGATGTCTGTTTTCCGTAAAAGGTGAGAGCACACCGTGAACGTTAGCACAAAGCCTTCCATCGCGTCATTGATTTTAATCTCCGACGGATTGAGACTAAGTATTCCGGTTCTGGGAACCATCGGTGCACCCACTACTATTTGTCCACCACTTATGAACACTCCCTTACTAGAGAATCTTTCACTGAAGTACCTTCAGGATATCTGACAGTCTGTCCTATACTCGTAGTCCTAAGGCTATGGCATTTCTACAACTGCAGCTAAGACAAAAGTGAATTCATTTGCTATAAAGATAGAAGAAACTAGCATCATTTTAAAAGAATAGCCATCTCCTCCCTGCCATTTGCCAGCTTATGAATGCCATGTTGTACCTTATGTTGATAAATGTCTACGATGGCAGTCCCGGTGCTACTCTTACGCGGCTCCACAACATCAAGGACATAGCCGGTTTTGAAGCGTCCGCTTATGGTAACTGTGAACTTGTGCTTGTATGTCGAATTAAGCAATTTGCTCCATATTTTTACCTGCCACAATTTCATTCCGACCATACCGGTATCACAACCTTCCTCAGTGATGAGTCTTAAGAATTCCGTCAAATGTAAACCCAGTTTTAGAATTTCTTACTTTCTGTTTTCGCGTTTCAAATTGTGTTTCCACAAATATTACAAAACCAGACCGCCGAAAGCTTATCTCGCTTGTCTTTGGTGATGTGGGCGAAAACGAGTCACTCACAGAGCTGATAATATATAGTGCTCAGCCATGAAACATCTATATCCGTTGTGAAGACAGATGTGTGTCACAAGGAAAAGCACCAACTACTCGCTGCGCCTTTACACCGACGGTGCACAATAAGCTCCTCCCGTGATACGTCATTGCAGCGGAATTTTCATGCACAGTGGAATGTATGATCATTTGGTACAGCGTGCCTTCAGAATCAGTGGTGTTAATGTTCTTTCAGGGCCGACGAAGCTTGGCTACATTTACAGTGGTATATCTGTTACTCATAGTGCTTAATGTCGTCAGTCATTGCCCGTGCAACAAACATTAACTGATAGATCGTTAAATAAGTAAATAACTTTATTCTGAACCATGCGTGTCACTCCTGTATCGGTATGACTGTGTACAGGCATACTTGTATGGAATGATCATCACAGGTGGATCGGCAAGATTTAAAAGCAAATCAAATAGGAACAGTTGAAAGAACAGCAAAGGCATAGTAAATGATTGCCTGGTTGGTATGATGTTGGCTGGCTTTTAAACCGCCCACGTACATCCCTTAATACAAAACAGCAAACTCAGAGCACAGGGAGTGTTAGCAAGACACCCTTGTTTCTGACATTACTTTGTACACTAACCTTCAATTCCTATCTCATACTAACCTCATACAGGGGTACATTTAATGTACTTGTTCCGCTGCCACTATTCTCGTTTCAGTGTTCTCAACTGATGTCTCACCGATATCAGTATAGGTTGTCCTGTTCAGCCACACCATCCAACGGAACCTTTTTCGGCACCTGCTTTTACGGCCGTGATAACTCATTTTTCCTTGTTCTAG